ATGCCTAGAGAGTCATGACCGAAACGAGACATACTCACTTCCACATATCTGTTCTTGGAAGCCTATAGCGGCAGAGTTTGATCCTGATTCTGACTAGACACTCTCGCACTTGCTTACGGAAGAGAGAGAGAGAGGGAGAGAGAGAGAAGGAGGGAAGAGAACAGAGAGCGGTGAGAATTGCGCACTCCAGCGAAAAAGCGGATAAGAGGGTGCGTGAACGAGCAGATATGAGCGTGTCAGTGAGTGAGGGAGAACGCGTGTGTCCCGAAAACGCACGCGCGCGCCGTGACGCAAAAAGAGGGGAGGAGAGTGGAAAAGATCTTTGAGGGAAAAGCAATGATAGAGAGCCTCTAAAGGAGCGAGTGAGAGGGAGGATTGAATGATGACGAGCGTACTCAATGTGGTTGAGAACGATTGCAATTCTCTTTTATTCTAGACAGAAATTCAAACTCAGTCTTTCCTTCGGGTGACTAAGCTCGTAACCAGCAAAAGATAGGGGCAGGCGTGGTATTTCTGGACAAGTCGAGTAGGGAATACTCTCCATGCGCCTAAATGACCTTTGTTCCCACGCAGCTGACTATTGAATCTGACAGTGGGTGTATCTGAAACTCGGCTGTAGATCCACCCTCGGGAACGTTTGCTGTCTTGAGTCCAGTAAGACCCCCTTGATAACGCAGAGTTCTGAAGTAAATCTGAAGCGAATTGCAGACGAAAGGCTTACCCCTCTTTTGCTTTACTCAATAAGTAAAAGAAGAAAGATGGCGAACGAATCAGGATGCTCATGGGTGAGGGATCAGATGAGGTGAGCAGATCAAGTTAACTTCACAACAACATAGTCTGAAGCATTGCTTGGACTGAAGCTTACTTGACGTTGTCTTTGGCTTTTCGTGAGGAATTACATTTGGTTGCTCAACGTAAAACGCATTACAGTGGCTAAGGTCAATTACAAACCCCTCTGCGGTTCTAGTTTCTGTGCAGCCGCTGGTCGAACAAAGGTAACATAATTGGAAAGCTCGGAACCTATCGAGTTGCCAACCCTAGATGATGGCTGAGGGAAAAGGGCTTGCTTGGGATGGCTATGAAAATCCAATTCGCGAGAGTTCAACAGAGCATGAGTAGTCGTAAACAAAATGTGTGACTGTCTTCGCTGCTCCACCCTACCATTCGAGAGCTCTACATTGATATTTATGTGAGGAGAAACATTCCCCTTGTGGCTGAATTACTTTTGTTAAGCTGACATTCTACAGAGAAATTCTCAAGGATGACTCCAGTCAGATCACAGCACTACCGAGCAACTCCGCATGATTTATCCAAATCCAAGTTTTTCGACACTTGTCAGATGATCAAATAGGAAGCCTTTAACCCGAGCACTAAAAGGGGGCCTGACAGGCAAAGCCAACCCCGGCAGCCAGCTGGTCGCTGAGGACCTCTGACGTGGGCGCAGCGAGTGACAAACGTTGTTGCCCTTGGCTTCAGTGAACAGTAGGCGACCCCTCCCCGGGTTTCCTCACAGTGGGGCTGCACAGCGACGTCGGGAAAGGAGGAGGTGGAGGGAGCTAGAAATGGGGATCTCATCTGATCCTCGAGTTGAGTAGCGACACTAGATTTGGTGTTGAGTAGTTGTTTTTGGGGATGCGGGTGTCCTTAGCTGCGCAAGGGAGCTACTTCGAAAAGAGGAGGAGGCATCTTTCCACTTTCTAGGGGAAGATCCATCCTCGCTTTCTAGATAGAGTAGCCGGCAACCGGGCAATCGGTCGTAGCGATCGGGCTACTTCTTGATCGATCGTAGGTTCAATAGTGGCCCTCTCCCTCCCTCTTGCAGGTCCCCTCCTCCATCGTTGTCGTGGGCCTCCCCTTCGCGGCGTCGGGGATCTCTTTTCTCTTTGACATAGTGATCAGCTTCGACGTGCAGCTATGGAAGTGGTCGTCGTCCTAGCCCTGCCTTTCCTTCCTGCTCGAACCCACTGAACGAATCGGACACAAAGCGACACCTTGCCAAGGAAGCAGCTCGTCCCACCCGACCCATCCCGGTATCGGACAGACAACTTCGCCCTCGCAAGTAGCTCGGTCTTTTAAGAGGGGGAGTGTGTTACATCTTCGATGCCGGGTCCTACCGGACCCGACTTAGGGCCAGAGGGACACATTAGGGCCTAAAGGCCCGACCTTGGGGTACTACAGGCCGTAAAGGCCTCATCTTGGACCAGACCCGACGGGCAGGCCCAAACGACATTACCGTTTGKGCCTGGCGGCGCTCTTGAGGCTGCCGCCCGCCGGTTGGGGCTGAACCGTCCATCTGGACGGTTCAGGGCACGGCCAGGCCTCACAGCATAGAGGCCGGCCTCTGCCCCACCGGTACAAAGGTACCGGTCCGGTCTCACTCCAGGTATCGAACCACCGGCAGTCTACGCGGTGCGTTAAGGTCTAGCGCTAAGTTTAGCGCAAGACACGAGGAGCAGCGCAGCAGCGGCATCACAGCAGCGGCAGCGAGCGGAGCAGCAGCAGCGGCGACTGAGCAAGATCGGCAGCCATAGCCGCCTGAGGTATCGGGAGCCGGAGGTTCTCTCCTCCCTCCCGTCGTCAGTCCCCTCTCTCTCCCTCTCCTCCTCGACTGTCTTCTTCTTCTTCTTCAGACTTCTTCTTCTTCTTCTTCAGATTGGATACTTGATACTAGTTGGACAGAGATCAGTGTTGGACTTCGGTAGTAAGAGGCTGTGGTACTTACCGGGTTTGAGACTTGGAGATTGTTGGGGATGATACTCGGCTGCATCACAGATTGGACACCGGCTACATTAGGACTCTGTACCTCCGACATTGGTGACTTATTGTCCCCGACATTTTGATCTTGTTCGATGWCATTTTGGATTACCATATCGGTGACCTACTGGTTTCTATCTCGGTGACATCTGGTGCTACCTACATCCCCCACCTCCTTCGTCTCTCCTCCCACCTTCATCTGTGTATGTGTGTACGGGGCTGAGCATCGTCTATGTATGGCTCAGACCCCACCATCTCACGATTGTATGTGTGTGGAGTGATATCTATGTAAGTCAGTCTATGTGAGTCAGTCCGTTTATCAGACTTCCGCTGCATATATGCTCATCCTACATTGGTTGATCTTTGGTTCTGCCCATCCTCATTGAAGTATGTAACATTTATACTTCTGTAAGTCGCTGGTCTGCCCTTTTCGACCGGGCCCATGGTGCACACAGTTCCTCATGGTACTTGCTGACTGTACAAAGTGAGACTGGGACTGGGTACCGCTGACTAAGCGAAGTTGGACTCACCACTTGTCCACTTGCCTCTGGTCTGCTGTGTATAACGTGAGAAGAAACTTGAAAGGCCACTTCCGGACCTTCCGGAAGTTTGCGGACTTGGCCTTTCAGGACTGTAGCAGCTACGACCTTGACCTTTCAGGACTGTAGCAGCTACGACCTTGATCTTTCAGAACTACAACGACTATGACCCCTATGCAGGTAGGACCCCTACTTCGACAGGTCTAAGGTCCAAGACCCGTCAACTACTCAGACCTACGACAGACAACTTTCAATTACTAACACACAGGTCACGGGTTCAAGGCACACAGGGTCGACTTGATACTGTTACATGCTGCGCCTGCACACGGGCCCCATTTCAGGGGCCCGACGGTTGCTAAGGGGCCCCCAGGCCGCGTGCCCTTTTGACGAGCACCCTGGAGGCCCACGGCGGCCCCTAGGGGCAGGATTTGATTTACAACAGCATTCAGTTATTTATTTATTTGTTTGCTGTCTTATTTTTGTCTGTTCAGGCATCGTTTCGGACTAGCAGTCCCCAAGGCTGCGCCTTGGGCTGGGTACCCCAGGAGGCAGGGCCCTTTGAGGCCAGGTTCGTGCTCGTCCAGTTACGGACGTCCCTGTTGCATCAGCAGGCAGGGTCTGGACGTCCGGTCGGGACCCAGACCCAGTAGGGCACGTTTTTGGCCTAAGACCAGAGGCACACGGAGGCTGACCGACGAGGCCCAGCACTACTTATAGCTGGGCCAGGCCAGGACAGGGAGAGTGGGAGTAGCCCACTTCTTTGGGCGACACGCTGCTGAACCAGCGCTACAGCGCTACCGCGCTATGCTGGGGTAGAGGTAGAGGTGTAGGCAGGCAGAGGGGTGGAGGCCATACTTGCGTCGGCGGTACTTACCTGGGCGCCATAGCCGTGCTCCACGTCGGCGACCTGCGCAGGACCACGACGGCAGTTAGTACATGGCGGCAGTTACCTGCAGGTGAGCCAGCGAGGAGGACGACACTTTGTTCTTCTTCGTCTCGCCCTCCATCTCTTCTCCCCCCTTTCTCCTCCTCCTTCTTCTTCTTCTTCTTCTTTCAGAGAGAGAGAGAGAGAGAGGTTACAGGCAGAGGTTACATCGGGCATTGGCCCAGGATCTGATTCGACATTTTGTGGCAGACATTGATTGGACATTCGGCAGGGAGGCTATTTCTGGACTTCGCTATCGCGATCTTGGTCTTCTTCCTCACCTCCATCTTCGTCCTGCCTCTCCCCCATCTCTCATCTGTGGTATCTTCCCCATGTGTGTGTACGAGGAGGGACCATTCTTCCATGTATGCGGTCCCTCCTCTTCCTCTCATATCTGTGATGTATGATGGGAGGTCGCGTCCGTATCTGATCGGTCAGGTCATATCCTTGAGTCTTCTGTGCGCTACTTTGTGCTATTCTAGAGGTACATTGCTGGTTGATGCTTTGCTGACACCTCATTGTCCATACGAGTCCTTTTCATCACTTAGGGGATCCTTGGCTCCATATACATTGCTCGACTGAGCATGTATCAATACTGTACACGGGTAAGGTAAGGTAAGGTAAGGTCTGGGGATCGAGCCCTGGGATCGTCATCTGTGACTGCAAAAAGGTGAAAACTGTTTCACTCTTGTCCTATGTTGATGTAATGGAGCTCGGTTCACACACAACTTGCCATGTGTCACAATGCCCAGCGCTGATCGGAGTTTTTCTTTTTGGCACAGGCACTGAAGTATGTAAGTTTTCCTGTTCAGACGCTTGCCAAATCAGCCAAGATGATTCCTGTTATGGTAAGTCCTGCCTTGCATTTTTGTGTACCACGTGGCATATGACAGCGGAGCCTCTTTGTTAACTCATGACTTGATGTGACTCTTTTTTTTTTTTTAATGAGTTGATGTGATTCCAAAACAAATTGACATGCTCCCTTTGAAAGCTCTGTCCAAAGTTTTTTGACTAAGTAAAGCTAGAAGTTTCTGAGGTGTAAATGTATATACAAGTTAATACAACTGACAAGTCGCTGAAATTCCGACGGAAAGGTCTGTCACGGCCCCTCGTTTGCTGTCCTCTTCTCCCTCTCTGCCTACGCTTCACCCGTCAATTTCCTATGATTGCATACATGTGTATACATATAAATCGCGATACTGAATGCGTGGTCTTTTTTGGTGCCCGTTCTTCCTTCATGTTGGCCTGCAATCGACATGCCACTTCTCAAGAGTGTTTGGTGGGCATGCTCAGTGCCATCCATCGTGGCAATTGTTGTACTGAGAACGCACAGCTAGGTCTTCCATGTCCTCATTCGCCTCATCCTTACAATGTATGTCCTCTCTGTCGTCAAGGACAGACTGATTCTTGAGGCTTCTTTTTATCTTTTCTGATGCTTTCATCTTCATTCCACAATCCTTACATTCCCTTAGCTTCCCTTTGTCTTCATTTGCTTTGTCTTCTCTCCATCTTTTCTCTGTGTTTATCCCCTCCCCCTTTACTCTGCCTCTTTCTCACAGTGTACAAGTGGGCCATTATGGCACACGAGGATATGGGCAGCTCACACTCAACTTCGTCATCATGGCGAGCCTTGTACGTGAGAGGCATGGTGAAGGGGGAGTTAAAAGAAGAGTCAGAAAAATGAATGGTTTCAGTGTGCCCTTCATGTTTGTTCACCGTTTGTTTTGCAAAGTGCACTCTTTTAGTTTATACTACTTTTATAGATATGTGACAATACATCGTCTTAGTTTCAGAGATCTTATCGAGTCAGGCCATACCAGTGAAATTCCTCACTTTTTTCTTGCATCCTTGCCTTTCCTTCATTTGAACATTCCCCTCCAACATGTTAAAGCGGATTGGATGTCCAAGGTGTATTTTCCAGTTTGTCGTATGCGAACTTGCAGCCGTCCTTGTCGAACGAGAGGGCGAGAAAGTGTGCCAGGGGCAAGAGCGGTCTGCGTACCTCACATAGGCAGAGCTGTCCGATTTCAGGCCCAGAAGTCGACAGGGCACTGAAACGGAAAAAGGAGTTTCTGTTTGAACTTGCTTCTGTTCTCCCATGGGATCATCGCCTTTTCCTTCATTTCCATTTTCTTGTTGTTTACGACTGAGGAAGTTGTTTTCCCCCTCTCTCGCAATCACTGTCGGTGAAGCAAGTAAAGAAAAGGGCGGGCCACACACACATAGTAAGGCCTGGCTCGCAGAGTGCTCATGGATGGGCTTGGAGTGCTGTTGTCATGGGTTAGATTCCCAGGGGCGAGGTCCCACTAGCAAAGCGAATTTGGATTTAACGCCTGAATGTGGACGTGTTTGTGGAGTGGTGCAGAAACTTGCGATTCATCTGATTTTGTGCACCTCGGCAGGGTTGCATACCTGCCGAGCGCCCACCCCGACCACCGACCGTTTTGCAGCCGACCAGTAGGGCCGACCGGTCGGCGGTCTGCCGACCAGTCAGAAAACAGCCATCTAAATCTTAGTTGGGGGCCGTACTGCGCTTGCTGAGTACAGCCCAAATCCGGTGAGAAACTTTTTTGGTTTTGGGGGGGGGGGGGGGGGTGGAGATTGGAGCATAGGGGGGTATAGGGGTGGTATAAGGGGTATTGGGTGGGGTAATGAGGGTGTTGGGGGGGTGTATGGGGGTATTGGGGGCAGGTATGGGGGTGTTGGTAGGGTTATTAGGTGTTCTGGACCATTAAAAAAAACAAAAAAAAGGGTGCCGACAACCCCTGACCGGTAGGTGCCTACCGACCAGTCAAGGGCCGCCGACCGTCAGGGTATGCAAGACTGCATCTCTGCATAAAACACATCCAGATTCAGGCTCTTTATCCAATCCTCTTTGCTAGTGGGACCTTGCCCCAGGAGCGCAAGTGTTTTGAAAGTTGAAACATATGCACTTCTTTTTGGCTGATTGGGAAGGAAGGGATGTCGGTTACACGGCAGCATGGTAGGACAGGCAAATCTGGCGGTGATCTTTGGAAGCAGCTGGTAGCTCGAATCCCAAGTTGGAGTGAACGAGGGGTGCTGGAGGTTGAGGAGAAGGTTTGGAGGGTTGTTAAACCACCAGTACATCCAGGTATCGACCGCGGGCCCTTTTCGGAGGCCGCCCGCCGCCGATTCAATTTATCTGTGACGCTGGGCCTCCAAAATTTCCGAAGGCGACGAGTTTTCTTTTCAACAAAGCTGGGGCCATGTACTGGCGGTTTAATCTGAAGTAGAAGTTCAGAACTGAACTTCTCTCCTTTCTTTCTTTGTGGGAGACCTGATGTTAAACCACCACGACCTTTCCCAGGCAACTTTGAGAATTGAAAATGTAACATTCTGGGTTCTTCGGAGGCTGGGTACTACCGGGCCATAGTGGCTGGCGGCGGCAGCGAGCCGAAAGATCAAAACAAAAAACCCCGGCACTGGCGCTTCGACAAATCTGTCTCAGCAAAAAGAGGCTCAGGGGTAGTGGTGGGTTGAGAAGTTGGGCCTGTACCTGTGTTGAATCCAGAGTCTGATTCACTACAGCTCTATAATTGTTTGAAGTTTCTGGTGCCATGATTCATTGCTGCGTCTTGTTATTTGCTCTGCAATCTGCTGGGGGTCGGGTTCTCAAAAGGAGGAGGGATGGTGTCATGAGTGCATTTGGGTCTGATGGGTTGATGTAGAGGAAAACAGAAGGGAGGGATATGGACTGTGGCAAGTTTGGGGGGGAGTGAAGGAGGAGAGGGGGAGGATGTGCATTAGGCCACAGCGTGGCCGAGGTGAGAGAGAGAGAGAGAGAGAGAGAGAGAGAGTGAACTCTCTCGCACACACGCAGACACAGACAG